TTGCCTTGCATGCAAGAGGCCCTGGGTTCGATTCCTCAGCACCACATAAGCAGACAAAAAAAAAAGCCGGAAGTGGTGCTGTGGCTCAAGTGGTAGAGTGCTAGCCTTGAACTGAAGAGCTGAGGGACAGCACCCAGGCCCATAGTTCAGGCCCCATGACCGACAAAAAAAAAAAAAAAAAAAAAAAAAGCCCATCATAAGCCGGGCGCTGGTGGCTCACGCCTGTAATCCTAGCTACTCAGGAGGCTGAGATCTGAGGATCGCGGTTCAAAGCCAGCCCGGGCAGGAGAGACCGTGAGACTCCTATCTCCAATAAACCACCAGAAAACCGGAAGTGGCGCTGTAGCTCAAGTGGTAGAGCGCTCGCCTTGAGCTGAAGAGCTGAGGGATAGTGCCCAGGCCCAGAGTTCAAGTCCCACGACCGACAAAAAAAAAAAGCCCATCATACTGCCTGTCTCATATTCAAAGCTGTTGAATGAACACATATCAATTATCACTGGTCTGTATCATAATCTCTCTAACTCCAAGCCCCATGAGGTCCATGGTTGTCTTAGGCAGATATGAGGAATGGGGCAGGATAGGAGAAAAAGAAAAGCAAGGAAATTAAAGAGGGAAGAAGAAATAAAAAGAGAGGGGAAGGGGAAAAAGTAACTTCTTCATCTGGGAAAAGATGCTCAACCATGCCATGCACTCATCATTTGCAGGGTAAGCATCTTCTCTCTAGGTCAGAAATTGCCTCTTAGCACACTAGCAAGTGCCACCTAGCAGGTGTGAAAAAGCAGTCATCCCAAGAGAGAATAGGCAAGCCATACCCATAGCCCAGAACTGGACACCAATTACTGGACAACAAGAATGCCTAGATATCCTCAAAGCAACATGTGAATCATGTATAGATCAAAACAAAATAGTAAAAGTTAAAACCTCCTAATAGCAAAATTAGAGTGATAATGAATGTTCATTAGTGTCATGAAACTGAGACCATCCAATTAATAATCCACCATCTCTTCCTGCCCCTCTTATTGGCCACCTATAATACTTTGAGTACTTAAAGTAACTTGGAGTCTATGATTTACCATCAGTAAGACAAAGAGCTTCATCCATGACCTCAAGGTCTTTTTCCACCTCTAATTTCTATACATCAGAGTATACTCTGTGGCTTCAAAATCATATTTCCTGAAGTTGGTGCTAGTCATATCTTTGTTCCAACAAGTCCTCAAGCAAGTTACCATTTTGAGTATATTATTTTGGAGAAAAAGAAAATGGAGGTGAGAGTCTGAGGGAAAATGAAGAAAAGGAAATTCTGAGAGGGAGAGGAAAGAAAGGCAAAAGAAGAAGCAAAGGCTGACTAATGGAGCATGATAGATAGCAAAAAGGGGAAAGAGGAAGCCACGATATATGTTTGTTTCGTTGTCTTTTTACACTGGGCCTTGGTCAAGGCATTGGCAATCACAAGATTTAACTCTCTTGGTGCTTTCAAGCAACTAGGACTTTTTTGAGTTCATGTGTACATCAAATCTTTTCATCTTCTCATAGCAGGCACCACTCAAGCCATGTACATGTACTGAGAGAGGAAAAGGGTTGTTATAAAAGTTAACAATGTGAGGGGCTGGGAAGGTGGCTCAGTGGTAGAGTGCTTGCCTCACATGCATAAGGCCCTAGGTTCGATTCCTCAGCACCATATAAACAGAAAAAGCCAGAAGTTGTGCTGTGGCTCAAGTAGTAGAGCACTTGCCTTGAGCTGAAGAGCTGAGGGACAGCGCCCAGGCCCATGACCAACCAAAAAAAAAATATCACTGCCAGGCGCTGGTGGCTCACGCCTGTAATCTTAGCTACTCAGGAGGCTGAGATCTGAGGATCACTGTTCAAAGCCAGCTCGGGCAAGAAAGCTCATGAGACTCATATCTCCAATTAACCACTCAGAAAACCAGAAGTGGTGCTGTGGCTCAAGTGGTAGAGCGCTCACTTTGAGCTGAAGAACTGAGGGACAGCGCCCAGGCCCAGAGTTCAAGCCCCACAACTGACAAAAAAAAAAAAAAAGTTAACAATGTGAAATGTGACATTTTACTAATCTAAACTGTTGACTAGAGTGGCCAACAGAAGACTTAAGGCTGAGTTACTAGAACACAGGTCAGGGTCTGATAGCCCTCTGCCCATGGCAGAGCACCATCAGGGGACAGACAAGTCAGCCATTATTATGAGCCTAGAGAAATGCAGAAGATAAATATGTGACTATTGCCTTTCCCACATCATTGTATATAATGACCTGGAAACATGCTCACAAGTCATAATGAGTGAACGTGAGCAACTACTGAAGCAAAAGAGCAGAATGTACTAGAATTAATTTTTCTGAGTAGTATGAAAAGTCCAAGTTTCTTCTTTTTCATATGACTATGCCCTATTAGTTTTTAAAGACTTTCTCCTATTTTGGCATCTTTGGTGAAAAATCCACTAGTTATATAAGTTGAGACTATATCTAAGCTCTCCATTTCATTCCACTGATCTATTTGACCATCCATGTGCCAATAAACATTGACTTGATCATGAAGCTTCGGAGCTCTTTTTCAAACACATTAAGTCTGATGTTTGTTAGAAAACCAAGAGGAGAGGTCATGTATACAGTAAAATATTAAGAGTCTAGAATTCAAGGAAGAAGGATCAAAGTGCTATTGCTATATGGTTGACATTTTAAAAAAATAAAGAGAACCTTTAGACTAGAGAGAGGTCTCAATCAGTAGCATAGAGAATTCCAAACACTGAGCTGGGAGGCTTAACATTAGTAAACTGACAAAATGATGAAGAACAGAAAAGAAAATTGGAAAGGCTCATCCAGAAAAGAGAAATCAGGAGAGTGGTGATGTTGTGGAACCCAAGAGAAGAAATTGTACAATGAGGTTGAATTTTTCAACTGTGCTGATGGTTGATAACAGGTCCATGGAACGGGGCCACTGGTTTTTAGCAGCATAGGAATCGTTGGTGACCTAGAGAATATTATCTGTACAATGGCAGAGGCAGTAGAGCAGAAGGGTTCAGAAGAAATGGGAGAAAAGAAATTGGAGCTGGTGTGCATGGGCAACACTTTTGTTTCTTGCCATTCTTGGCTTGAACTCAGGGCCTGGGCACTGTCACTGAGCTTCTTTTGCTCAAAGCTAGCACTCTACCACTGGAGCCATGGAGCCACTTCTGGCTTTTTCTGTTTATGTGGTATTGAGGAATCGAACCCAGGGCTTCATGCATGCTAGGCAAGCACTCTACCACTAAGCCACATTCCCAGCCTGGACAACTCTTTAAAGGAAAGAGTTAGAACAGTGAAGGAGAAATATGAAGCAGTAACTGAAAGAAGAATGGAAAGGGAAGTGGAGTCCTCAAAGGGTATGTTTAAAATGGACAGAAATGACAGCATTTTTTAATTCTGAAGATAATAGTTCAGTAGAGGGGCAATGTCAAAGGAGAGATTCAGAAGAAAGGAAAAATTGCTGGACAATGTCACTGGTTAGGTAGAAGGGTGTGGGTGAGGGTAACAGTAACATGAAAGAAGGGACTGTCGAGGGCATTGGTGCAGAGAGGCCCACACACATACTGGAAATTGTTCATAACTTTTCTAGTAAATGTGTATTATTTCGATTTTTTTAGGCTTAGGAATTCAGGAAGAGCCTGTAGATTGGTTTAAACAAGGCTCTAATCAGGGTGAAGCTAAGAGGAGACAGAATGGACAAGACAAAAGATCTCATCAGAGAATGTCCTCATTACCTCCAGCTGGGTTTCCACTGGCTCCACTAGCTGTCTCCTTCCAAAGAAAAAGAGCAGGGATGGGGGGAATGCAAGAAAGGGAGGAAGGAAGGAGCTTAGAAATAAAATATGTCCTTTAACAGACAACAAGATTGAGATCAGAAACTGGATGATATGATCTAAGAGAAAAAATTGAAATTTGAAGCCAGTATTTCTCTGGCCTTTTTGTTTTTGTTTTTTGTTTTTGCAATCAGAGCCTAATTGTAGTTTAGCAACTATGAATATTATCTATTCTTAATCTTTTCTCTTTGTAAAATTAATGTTCTTTAAAGTTGTTAATGAATAACAGGGCTTATATTTCTGTTTTTCTGATGTAAACAGAAAATAAAAGGAGTACATGCTCCTTAATTTCAAAGTTGCTACCAGTTTATAAGTAATTCAACGCAGAAACTTCCAGTAGAACATTTTATTGTCTAGTTGACAACATTGCTTGAATGCTGGCAGTGTTCTGTCCTTCTGTCCTTTTGACACTACACAGTTTTCTAATATGTGTTAATGCTAGGTAGTAAGACATCTCAATTCTTAGTGTCAAAGGTTCAACTCAATTGAATATACCTGAAAATCCATGCATTTGTCTTCTTCATTTGATGATGCTTGAAGTAAAATAGCCCATTCTGTGTAAATCCATCTTTGTTTTTCTTTTGACGTCCTATCTTTGCTCAGATTATTGAAAGATGGTGGCTTAAAGACATGATAGAGACAATGCGTTATTGTGTGGCCCTGGTTTTCTGAAATTGTATTTCATGGAATTCTCAGATCTTAAATTAAATGTGTTTCTTTCTTTTTTTTTTTGAAGGACCCTATTACAGACATCATGTGGGAAGAATCCATGAACCTGTGCTGATTATTCAGTCAAGCCTTAGACAACTAAGAGGAATGCTAGTCTAGATTGGAAAAATAACTCATTAATCCCAGGTTCATCTTGGTATATCATCACAGTCCTCAAAATTCAACTGTGCCCCAATCATTCCCACTCCAGATAGGCAGATTAGTTACTACCAAGTGTCATGGTGACTGGCCATCAGAAGAATTGAAAAAGTAATATTACCTTCAGAGGGAGAGTCCCAAGGACCAAGATAGCAACTGTCATAGCAACGGCCACACTGCTTTGGTCAAGGAGACGACCATTTGGGGAACTGAAAACAGAACCAAGAGCACATCTGTTGCTCTCGCTCCTATCTTCCGCCAATAGGCTGGGTGGTACACTCCACACCCTTTCAGAAGTTCCAAAGACCCCACACACCTGGGCTCCCCAAACAGCTGGCCAAGTCTGTATCCAGCACAGGAATGGAAAAATCCCAACCCCACTGTTTGACATCCACCTCAACCCAGTGCCCCGCCTTCAACCCTAGAGATATCCTACTGGTAAGTCTCAGTCTGGAATAATCAATGTCTTTGAAGGGGTCTGAGGTGGTAACTTTATCCATAGTGGCCATGTGGCATGTAAAAAAGAAGCTGTGAACAAGAAAGTGCTTCGTGGGACCAAGAGGGGTCCTGGAAATATCTGAGAGAGCAGCAAGAAACAAATTGTGTTGGAGAGTAGCCATCTCAGTGTTAAGAGGGTAGGAAGGATAGAGATGAGCTGTTGATATTTCAGAATACATTTCACTAAACTTCCTTGAACCCATAGTCAAAGCTTTCTACCATGTTCCCTTTCCACCCATGCATACAACTTTCCACAATCCATTCCCCCATCTGTTGGCCCTTCACCAAGTCACAAGGAAAGTTGACTTCCTTTTCACATCAAAATAAAAACCTCTAAAATTATGGGAAATAAATGCTTGTATGTTTGTATGTATAGATGATCACGTTCATTTATTCTGTGTACATTTATTAATATCACTATGTACTTGGCTCTTACTTTGTTCCCCAGATAACACAGTGGAAAAGACAGAGGTTTCAACCCCAAGGAACTCCCAGCCTAGTAACTAGAAATTGCAACAGAGAGTACTGGGGTGACAGATGGAATGTTTAGGGACTTCTACAAAAGCAAGTGCAGAGGAGGGTACCTGATTTATGTTAGAGGGAAGAGAACATGCAGACGTTCACATACCTGTCCAAACATTTGTTTGTGAAGGTATGGAGAGCTAGGTATTACTGAGCTCTCACACATGGGAATCCATCACTTATAGAGTTATTTTTTCTCTGTGTAATAAAGCATTTAACAATAAAAATTTCCACCTTAGCATCACTATGAGTGAACAAATGAAATATTGTACTCAGTTGGTGATCTTTTCTGGGTTTTAATTATTAACAAGTTGAGCTATCATTTGTTTCTTGCAATATGCAGACTTCTCATTCTCTCCTACTTAATATGTAGAGGCAAGAAAAGTCTTGCAACTAAAACAATAAAATGAGGCACGACATGAAGACAGTTTGCTGATCCTATGTCTCATTCCAAGGCCTAAGGAGCTAGTTGAGTTCAATATATTTTCCCCATCCTTCCTGCTAGAAGCTATGGAGAACTTACAAAATGTAGCAGGACTAAGGTAAAAATTATATTTTCCAAAACATTTCATATTGAACAAAAGAAATCCATTATTCAGTTATCATCATATAATTTCAAGTCAGACAATTATCCAGCTGTCTTCCCAGCCAAAAAGAGAGTGAGTGAAGAGGGAGTTTTGTACCCTTGTAGAAAAGGAGGCTCTGAACTCAAAGGCATCACAACAAACTCTCCCTGAGCTTTATACTAGCATACACCTGTCTTCCTACCCACTTGCTCATAAGTGAAGGAAGGTTTACTAAGGTTATTTTTTACCCTCCACTAAGTATAGAGATAAATAACAAGGGAAAAAACTAACATCACAGTTAAAAAAGAATAAGCACCTTGGTGAATCAGAATGTGTTCAGTCTCTTAGTACATATACCTGGATTTTTTTTCATCCTATAAACATTAATGAGCAATGTGATATAAGTGCTAGTGTCTGTGAGGAAAAGGGGGAATAGACTCAAGTAACAGGAGGACATATCAATCACTTTACCCTCACCTTCAGCCCTTCAAAAGCCTCCTTCACCAAACAAAACCTCAGATCTCTTCCCTTGATGTGAATAAAATGAGAAAGGTCCATGCAACTTTTGCCATGCTCTTCACAGACTGAAGAACTCAGCTATGGGTTCCCACTATGTATTTTGTTTTATCATCCACAAAAGACAATAATCTAGCCATGAGGGCATTCCTGACAGATTACCCATCCTAAAACAATCTGTCACCCATCTTCTACAGTCTTCCAAATATTTTTATTCTCTCTTTTGTATGAAGAAATAAAAAATATCCTGTGAGTATATGTAGCATTTTATTTAACAAATTAATGTTTATACTTCAATACCACGCCATATACGACTAAACATTTTTTGTTTGTACTGGGGTTTGAACTCAGGGCCTCATGCTTGCTGAGCAACATGGGCAGCACCCCCGCCCAAATTAAAGCAAATAATAAAAATGATTACAAGGAGGAGCATAATTTTTAAAGCTGGGAGACATAGGACAGGTAATAGAGATGAAGATTATGAGACAGGAAGAAAAAGAAAATCAGAGACAAGATAGCATCTAGTCTAGAGAATTCTAAACACAGATCACTCCCCAAGTATACTGAGCTACCAACTTCTGAGATCTGCTATGTAGTGGGTCTGCCAGCTGGTCTGCTTCTCAGTATACCAATATCCATGGCCAGATGATAGAATTTTGGAGTCTCCACTAAGTCAACTAATGCAGCCTACCAGAGATGAAAAGATTTCCTTGGATTATAGCAACAGTGAAAAAGTCACTGTAGCCAAAGGGCTAGAAGGATCCCATGATATGTCATGTGGCTTCTCTTTGGCTTCTTCTCCAACCTCCGCCCATCTGTTTAAGATTGTAAATGCTTTAGCACACAGACAAGATCTCCCAAATAGACAAAGAAAAAATACTAAGTAACAGGAGAGGTGAAATATGTGAAAAAATGACATAATTTAACCTTCACCACTTCCACCCCAACACAGGAGTGGGGGGGGAGGGAGAAAGGAAGGAAAGAGAGACAGAGAGACAGAGAGGCAAAGAGACAGATACATGCTTCTGATTAACTCTTTACCATCCCTACAACTGGCTCTCTCTACTCTCAATCACTTGATTTTCTAACATGCAAGCAACAAGCTCAGAAACACAGCAACTCCTAATTGTGTAAAAAGGGAATAGGCTTCTTTTCAGTACCAGTACTATATTTTGTAATATGTTGGTAAATAACATTAAACAAGTTCCAAGTTCCTGACAGTAAAGTGACAAATGACACTATCACTCCTGTTTTCAGAGTCATGAAATACCCCCAAATAATGATGTTCGGCTCAAATAGCCTTACAGGGACCCTGTCTAAGTTGTTAATCTCGTAATTCATGCAAGCTATTTTTCCACAGGTGTATCTGAAAAATAAAAGCTTTTTCTATTTCCACATGGCCTAAAGAAATTCCATCTTTCGTGAAATCATCTGTGACTAATGAAGAAATCCTAGTTTAATGAAAACTTATCCATCTCCCCCATGACACTCTTGACTAAATACCATACTATCTTTGTATTAACATATGTTTAATATATTTAATATATATATATATATATATATATAAGTTCCAGGAATTTCTCTTATTTTCTATCAAAATAGAAGCTCCTAAGAGACAAAGCCTTCTGTTCATTATGTAGAACTGACCAGTTCGCCTTGGAAACCATGCACCAAACCATCTGAGACTCATAATTGCATAGGGAGCAATAGGAAGCCATTTTTGTTTCCGTTCATGACTCATCCACCTTTACTAAGAACTTTAGATTTTTCCCCTCCCTTCAATTATTTTTATTTATCTGAATATCACTGAAATGAGAATCTACACTTATATCACCAAACTAAAGATTATACTTCTCAAATTGCTCTTAACAATAGTTACTGAAACATTACACATATTTATTGTTCGCTAGTGCATTTATGAGCTAGAACTTTATCCCTTCAAACAGCATACTTTATTATCTTAGCATACCCAGCATTTGTCATATACTGAACTACAATTTTTACAGCTAATTCTTGTACTATCTTAGAGTTATTACAGAACGTGGCACAATGCACGGTGCCTTAGACATACAAGCATTTGTTGATAAATAAATGCATGGATGAACAAATAAATTGTGGATGGTTGATTGATACAGGTTTGTAGAACAGTTATAGAGGGGTTGTTGTTGTGTATGGTTGTTTGTTTGTTCTTTGGATTCATTGACTAGCAAAGTGTGAAATTATTTTGCCACTTTTCAGGTGAAAAAGCAGAACCAGAAAGATCAAGAGATTCACTCAAATGGAAAAGTCACCTTTCAGGTACCTACCCTGTAAATTCAAGCCTTTCATTCCACACAACTCCCTGCCTTGACCATAGGCTGTTCTAGCTTCCCTTCTTCTGGATTCAGTATCAGATTGTAGGAAAATCTGAAAAGGAACACCACAAAAATGCAGACAGAGGCAAGAAAATTACATCACATACTAGATTTGCTGCTATATATATATATATATATATATATTCACATACTAAACATATATATATATATATATATATATGTTTAGTATGTGAATGTACCTATACATCATATACATATACACTCAAGGACTCAAGGTAGAGATCACAAAGAATATTGGAAGTCATGACCTAGAGAAGTATGGTGTCTTCGTCTAAGGACTAGTACATTATTCAAGCCAACCATTATCTAATGTAGAATTATTTTTATTTCTGTTAATGATTAAAATGAAAATCTAATAAAAAAAACAATATCTTCTTAATTTTTCTGTAAACCCATAACCTTACTCTCTGTTATTTTACTTTCTCACATCAATTTTTCTTTTATCTATGTATTTCCATCTATTGCCACAGTGTCAGTTACACTCATGAGATCTTATGCTCAATTTCTTTTATTTGCTATTATTTCATGGTACTTCCTTTTTTCCTACTTAGGTTTATAGATTTAATATATTTTTAGAGTAAATGTTGGAAAAAATTGATCATTTTGAATGATACATATCATTCTCTTACTAATATTTTATAACTTACTTGTCCTTTTCTCCATCATTGGACCTTGTAACCTACAGCCTTGACTTGTTCCAAGAATGACCAACTACACTGGCTCTCCACTTTCTCAGTAATTTGAACTCAGAAATCATCATTATGAGAATCTGCCTGTTATGCTTGGAGCATCTTGTGTCCAATCCACCCAACATTGACTTAAGCTCTTCTCTAATGGCTTCATCTATATTCACTTTGTCTCATTTAAAATATGCTTTGAGGGACTGGGAAGGTGGCTCAGTGGTAGTGCACTCATCTTTCACGCATGAGGCCCTGGGTTCGATTCCTCAGCACCACATAAGCAAAAAGGAAAAAAGCCAGAAGTGGTGCTGTGGCTCACGTGGTAGAGAGCTAGCCTTGAGCTGAAGAGCTGAGGGACAGTGCCCAGGCCCAGAGTTCAGGCCCCACGACTGGACCCAATAAATAAATAAACAAACAAATAAATAAAATATGCTTTGATGTTGTTATGAAACTTATGTGTTATGAAACTTTTTTCTAGAATACTTAAGGATTAAATAAATGACTATATATTTGTAATCTTAGCAGTCAGGGTAAATTTTATTATTGCTAGCCTATTTGATACAGGATTGGGAACATAACTCAGTAACAGAATGCTCACCTAGGACACACAAGGCCCTGATTTAGATCTCCAGTACCACAAAACTTAAATAAATAAATAAGTCACACACATATGTACATACATACATTATAGCTGGTTTATTTGAGGTTCAAGGGATCATCGTTAAATTTATTTCCCAGCCTCAAGTCTAACCAATAACTACTGTTCATAAGCAGAAAAAATGGAACTTAATTATTCCATCCTAAGTGAACCAATATCTCCTCAGTGCTGAATAAGTCAGATACTTGTCTGACTCTCATTTAGCTCCCAAAGCAAACCCATTTTTAAAAAGGTATTATTATTATTATTATTACTTCCTAAACTTCACTTTCCTTCTTTATAAATTAGGAAAACATACCTTTTCCATGGGTTGTTGCAACAATTAATAAAGATTAATAAAGATAACTCTCTTAAAAGTCCAAGCTCTTAAGATTTAGAACTTTTAAGAAGAATCTTTACTTGTTAAGCCAAAGAGAAAGATTGGTTGTTACAGAAACAGCCTTAGATACTAAATTTCATTGTCTATAACTTTTTATAACTCTAAGCACATACATTAGGTTTCTTTCAATTTTTCTTTTTGTTTCTAGGGCAGGATAAACAAATGTCAAGATGATAGGATAATTAAGAATGATTATAAGAAACTGGAAATGCTTATAAGCCCAGCAATTAAAGGCTGAGACAGGACAATCTCAAGTTCAGAGCCAGCCTATACTACATAGGGTGGTCAAATCAACCTGAATTATGTAGCAAGACCCTAAATCAAAAAGCAAGAAAAAACAAAGAATGTTAATCCTAGCTGTATTTGCTGGAATAACATTGCTAGGCAAATCAAATAAGATACAAATGATAAATTCCAAAATCCGATTCCTAATCAGAAAAGTGGGCACAGGATATCAAAGCTAGGAGGGAAACTAGAGATTATGAAGAACAAGTCATGTATTTTACAAATAAAACCTATAGAGAGATCAATTGACAAATGAAAGGTCCCACGAAAAATGCCACAGTGGAAATAAAAAAAAAAAAGAATGCCACAGTAGGAGGTCAGATCTTCATCATCTCATTATTCTGAACAGAAAGAGAAGAAGCAAGGGGATTTCCGCAGTGCCAGCTCACACGGAACCAAGTCTTCTATTTTCAGAGCCTAGCCTTGCACCTGCTCTGTCCAGATGGGCTTGGCAAAAGAAGAAATGAAAGCAGGCTTTTCTCACTACAGGGCTAGCATGGGAGTTGGTCATAGATTGCTCAGGAGATGATGAACGAGACAAAAGTTTCTGGTGTACACCCCAGGGGTTTGGGGAATCTTTTCCATATTCCAGAGCTTGTCACCACAACACTTTTGAGAAACATAAGGCAAAGTTGAAGTATGGCACTGTTTCATGACCTGGCTCATTTAGTCCTACTATGTGCTGATTCATCAGGAAGAAAAGGAAGTGAGAGAAGATGCAACCCAGCCTTAGGCTAGAGGCAGGAGGATTAGGGGCCTGACTTTTCAACACGTCCAGAGAAAAGGAAATGGTTATATCTTGGAATAATTATCAAGGAAGGTAGGAGAATATTCTAACGAGTGTTTCTTCAGTATAAACAAAAGTGCAATGGAAAAGTTATACATTGTAGAGTGAGGCAAGAGGGCTTTGAACCTAGTTCTTCCACAGTGTACTTTACTGGCCTGGAGCAAGTTATTAATATTACCTAAATCTCATGTTGCTTGTTTGTAATTTTTATGATAATAACAGAGCATACTTTGTGTGTGTACTGGAATGCCAGTACTTGTGTGCTAGTTCTAGAGATTGACTTCAGGGGCTGGGTACTGACCTTGAGCTTTTTTGCTCAAAGCTGGTGTTCAACCATTTGTGCCACAGATACACTTCCAGCTTTTTGGATACTAATTGAAAATAAGAGTCTCACCAACGGTACATGGTCTCCCTGATAAGTGGATGCTAAATCCAAAATGTTAGGTGATACGACAAAATTAACAGGACTTAAGAAACAAAGAACTCCCACTCATCTGGTCGAACCACTACTAAATATCCCCATGCTGCTGATTACATGGATGGTGTATATGTGTACACCGTTATATGTTATAGACTGTGATAGACAATTTGCTCCAGGAAAGTTAGAATGAACTTGTGACTTTAAATGAGCATCATTATTCCACAATACTGTGAAATTTGGGAAATTATGTAATCACTTAATCACAATTAAAAAAAAAATAAAGAACCTCGGGGAAGGTAGGGAAGGAAGGGATGGTAGGGGGAAAGCAATGGAGGGGGTAACAATGCTCAATAGGAAGTGTACTCATTACCTTGATCATGTAACTGTAACCCTCTGTATAGTATCTTTACAATAAAAAATTAAAAAAAAATAGTGACACCTAGTTTGGTCTTCAAGTTCCAATAAAAAAAATTAATAAAAGGATTCTAAATGCAAAAAAAAAGAGTCTCAAAGACTTTCCTGCCTGGGCTGGCTTGAAACTTTAATCCTTAGATCTCAGCCTCCCGAGTAGCTAGAATTACAGATATGAGCCACCAGAGTCCAGCTCAGAGAATACTTTTAAAGGGGCATTATAAGGATTAGGACAAGTACCAAGGGCAGAACCTAGCTGAGGTAATTGTACTGATTGCTTTAATCAACCTACATGTGATCATTGCTGGACAACATCCAAAGCTCAGATATGTCGCTTCACTAGTTGCCTATTCGTATCAGAATGTTAGTCATAAGCTCTATGGTCAGGATTTACTGAGATACAAAGGGTCTCTTACCCATCTTCCTCCTTCCCAGAACCTGCCACTCAAATTTGAAGCATTTTGTAAATTTTTAAAGCATGTCCTTACCTCCTTGTTCTATCAAAAGCTAATGATTTAAATTCTGTTGTGCACAGTTAACAAAAATCCACAAATCCAATTTCTTTTTTATTATTACTATACTGCCTTTAAGTTGTTGCACAAAGGAATTGGCACTTAACAAAGCCATTTAAAAAAAAATAAAATAGAAAACTCAGTTCTGGGTTAAAGAAATTGCCAAAATTATGTTAAGTCATCTGGGGAAATTACATGCTAGCTGCCTGACTTAGGAAATGCATTATTTTTCTAATTAAAATAAATTGGTTGGATTTTAAAAAATCATGAGTGAAGTGAAATAAAATCGGTGGATCTGGGTTTGTTTCTTTAATGGTTCTCTTCCTTTCAGAAATCACTTCAGAATCTCAAAACAAAATACTTTCAAACTATAAAAGAGGCAAAATGTTGATGTATTAAGACTCTTTTATAAAATATCAAACAAACTTAGTAGTAAATGTCCATATTTCTGTGCATTTAAGGATCTGTAAACTGGGGGCAGAGAGTGTGATAAGGGTTGAAAATATAATGATTGGAATATAATGTAAACATATGTGGGGATATAACAGTGAAATCCTCCCCCTATAGCTAATATAAGCTAGTTAAAAAGTTTATGAGGTGGCATTGACAAGATACATTGCATTCATAAACTGCTTTGCTGAATGACAATTCCTTTCTACAACTATTTAAAGATAATTTTTAAACACTGGAAAAAGTTTATGAATCATAGAGGCCTCTACAATTAAAACAGCACTCTTGTGATTATAATTATTATTTGCTTCTAATTCCTAAACTAGGCTGTTCACTCATTTATAAAATAAGAGCAAACACTGTGTTGGGAGAAACAAAGGAAAATAATGAAACAGGTGACATTGATCAAGACTTATTATACTTACTAATTGACATGTTGACCTGAAATCCCTTTGTACAACTACTGGAAGATTTTTTTAAAAAAAAAAAACTAAGAGCAATCATTACTCACAATGCAGTCTAAAGAGTACACTAGAATCCCTTGTCTGCTACTACTTGGTTAACAATCTTGACCAACTCACTGGACCTGTTTCCTTATCTGTAACATGGAGAATGGGACTAGTGGTTGTGAAGGTCTTTCTCAAATTTAAAATGCCATGATCTCTACATGGTCATGTGAAGAATTTTTAAGGTTCTTTCTTTTTGTATGACATGGAAATCACTTTTTGTATGAAAACTCTTGCCACGTTCCTTTTGGAGCTGACTTTTTTAAGTTTCATCAAATGAACAATCATTTAGAGGACCATTGTTTTAATGATGATAACTGGCCAAGAAGAAACTAAAATAACAGAGCTAGGCAAGAACTATCATGTAGCCTGGCTCCTGACTTCCTTGATATTCATAGCCTTATACCAAGCCTCCCACAGATCATCATTCTACCACCTGAAACATATGCTCACCTACAGGGATGCTGAGAATACAGCTGGCAATCCAAGAAGGAGATCAGAACATGGTCCCATTATTAAAATAATGTAGTTGTTGGACACTGGAGGAACTCTAGGGATTCCCAAGTATCTTGGTTATATAAGCAATGGATGAATTCGCTATAACATGAAGTCTAGTTTTCCCCTCATCTGTGTTATAGAAGCTGTTTGAGTGATTTTTGACCTTGGATAGTATGTTCCAAAATACTTAAGCCCAGTGTCAAGAGCCAGTGGCTCACATCTGTAATCTTACCTATATAGTAGGCTAAGATCTAAGGATTGTAGCTCAAAACCAGCCCAGCCAGGAAAGTCAATGAGACTCTTCTCCAATTAAGCACCAAAAATCTAGAAGTAGAGCTGTAACTCAAGTTGTAGGCCTCTAGCCTTGAGAAAAGAAAAAAAAAGCTAAGGGACAGGGCCCAAGACCTTAGTTCAAGCCCCTATGTAGGCCCAAGAAATAAGTAATTAGTAAAGAATGAATAAATGAGTAGCCTTAAATAAGATAAAACTACAAAAAATACACACTGGATTTGAAAAGAGACTTACTCCTTTCTCTGGTCTGCTTCTGCATAAAACTGTAGCCAGGATGTTCTTAAATGTGAGATCCTACTACTAGTAATATCTGATAGTATGTTCTAAAAGAATTGAGTGTTGGCTATATTTTATTTAACATTTAGTTATGATCACATAAACAATCTTGGGGAAACTCTTTGCAACCTAATTGCCAGTGACATTTCAAAGGCTGCCAGGAATGGTAGCAGAGTCATTTCATGAAAGGCAATATGGTGGGCCTCTCTATCCTTGTCAGCAATTTGAGTGATACTGGTCTCTCCATGTGTGACAGCTTGCTTACTAATTCCACATGAGTACGTACTTAGTGCTGGGTAATTAGACCAGCAGGAATAACTTCCTTCAACTCCCTCCTTCTGGGTGGACACCTGCACTCACAGAAACAGAAAGTCAAAGTTTCCAACAGCATGCTTTCAAAAGGCAGCATACCTGCAGCTAAGTCAATTATTTTGGTTTCTCAGTGAGATTATCTGTCAAATTCAGTACCTGAAACAAACAGCTGTACATAGATAGATAACCTACGTTACTCTCAGGTATTTGTTTTTTCTTTCAGGTTGAAAAGGAAGAAACACACCTGCAAAATAATCTTCTCACAGTTGAAAAACAACATTTGTGAAATATCTAATTGGCATTTCACATCACCATACTCCTTCCAAAAAGAATTCAGTAACACATATAGAAAGCTACTAAAATTCTATTCCCTTTAACTTGGTAATTTTAAGAAATATTAAAATCAAACATTAGAGGGTTGGAGTGAGGCCAGTGGTGGAGAATTGGTCTAGCATGAACCAGGTCCTGGGTTCCACCCAAAGAACCACAAAAATAAGTAAATAAATAAATCAAATGAGAAAAAGTCTAAGTAGAGAAATAGTTACTAAATAATGGAAAGCTACCTCAATGGACTAACTCTTCAGTCAAGTAAGAAGCAGCTTCTAAATCTATATGACAATGGCTGGGAATGTGGCTCAGTGGTAGAGTGCTTGCCTAGCATGCATGAAGCCTGGAGTTCGATTCCTCAGTACCACATAAACAGAAGTAGCACTGTGGCTCCAGTGGTAGAGTGCTAGCCTTGGGCAAAAGAAGCTCAGGGACAGTGCCCAGGCCCTGAGATCAAGCTCCATGACCACCACCACCACCAACAACAACAACAACAAAAATCAATGGGGCATTTGTAAAGCGTGCAATTCAATATGCCTAAAATCAGCCCTGTATAACAAAATACACATATGTTTATGAATAAATATTAGAAGGAGAATGTGGATAAAGTGTTAAGAATGCTGCTGCACTAAAGTGTAAAACTTAAAGTTTTCCTCCTTCAAAAGGTTTGCTGTTAGCCAGGCCTGGTGGTAGCACATGCCTTTAATCCCAGCATCAGGAAGACAAAAAAATCTCATGGACTTTCCTGCCCAGGCAGGCTTTGTACTGTGCAGCTAAAATTACAAGCTTGAGCCACTGTCGCTTGACACATTCATTCTTTTTGAACATGCTATCTGAGATATTACTAGCAGTAGGATCTCACATTTAAGGCCATGCGGGCTACACATCAAAACTCTGTCTCCAAAAAAGAAAAATCAATACTCGAATTTGGTCAAACAGTTCAAAATAGTCACTATGGAAAGTAATTCTCTCTACTATGCCGTATCTCCTAGGCTAAGAAAGTTTTAATGAAGTGCATTCCCCCTGATGTATACTAATAAAAGGATGTACATTGTTAAAATATAACTTTATGATAAGGAACATTTAGGAAAGAGTAGAGATGAAACAACTTGCCAACATTCAGAGTAGAAATAAAGATACCAGCCTTTGTCTTATTCTCAGGTGGAAATGAAGCCTGTCCCTCCCTGCCAGGCCCTAGGGCTCAGCTCAGCATGGAGAGCCTGTTCCCTCACTAAAGTCAGACACAAGAGTTAATGTCTTCCTAGTAGTTTGAAGGGAATGAGTTGAAAGGCAAACTGGATTGAGAACTGAATGCCTATTACATTTAAAACAACTGTCTAAAATAAATTAATCAACATACATCTGGGGACGGACACAAGTTTTAATTAATGAAGTCCTTTCTCTCTTAATTCCTTGCCTACAGTTGTCTAGTTACATTCTTGAGAGCATTCAAAAGTTTTAAGGGGACTGGGAAGGTGGCTCAGTGGTAGAGCACTTGCCTTGCATGCATGAGGCCCTGGGTTCCATCCTTCAGCAGAAAAAAAAAAAGCCGGAAGTGGCCCTGTGGCTCAAGTGTGGCTCAAGTGAGCTGAAGAGCTGAGGGACAGTGCCCAGGCCCAGAGTTCAGGCCCCACAAACGGACCCCTCCCCCCCCAAAAAAAGATTTAAGGACATGTTTTAAAATATAAAGAGGTTCAATGAATTACTGACTTGACTATTGAAAACTTGTTTAATTTTGGAACACTAAATATTGCAACACATCCCAACAATTCAAAAGAGTAACTGTGGGGGTAATTCTATCATTTCATAGTCCTCAGCTAAGAAATTTTAATTGAAGTTTTTGCTGTAAAATTTCTTAAACATATTAGAAAAACATAACAAAGATTGAGTTTTAAAGGCAATCTTTGTTGTGCTTTTCTAATATGTCCAGCTCATTGTCATTATTTGTACTTGGATATAGTCTCAGCATTTAAACTGAGTTAACAGGAGACAGAAAATATATTTTGTCCAAAAGCATAATTTATAATTATCAAATGTTGCATGCATGCAATTAAAATCTACAAGATTAGGGGCTGGGAAGGTGGCTCAGTGGTATGCTTGCCTTGCATGCCTGAGGCCCTGGGTTCCATTCCTCAGCACCACATAAGCAAAAAGAAAAAAGCCAGAAGTGATGCTGTGGCTCAAGTGGTAGAGCGCTACCTTTGAGCTGAAGAGCTGAGGGACAGCGCCCAGGCCCAGAGTTCAGGCCCCACGACCGGACCCAAAAAAAAAGAAAAATCTACAAGATTATTTAGAGAAAAGATCCATCTTTTCACCCCAAAACTTTTAAATATAAGTATAAAATTTAATATGCACATACATTTTTTGAAGTAAACAGAATAACGTTTTTGGAAATGAAAGGCTGTATACATCTTATAGGACAGCACTCCATTTTAAGAATAAAAATGAATTATGGTGAATTTTATTGTGTATAAATTATGCTGAAGTAAAAATAATACATTTAAAGAACAAAAAAATGTTCTTAATAGGAGCTTGCCAGACACTGTGATTCATAATCCTAGCTACTGAAAAGGCTGATCTGAGGGGCTGGGAAGATGGCTCAGTGATAGAGCGCTTGCCTTGCATGCCTGAGGCCCTGAGTTCGATTCCTCAGCACCACATAAGCAAAATGAAAAAAGCCGGAAGTGGCGCTGTGGCTCAAGTGGTAGAGCTCTAGCCTTGAGCTGAAGAGCTGAGGGACAGTGCCCAGGCCCAGAGTTCAGGCCCCACAACCGGACCCAAAAAAAAAAAAAAAAAAAAGGCTGATCTGAGGATCATGGTCCAAAATCAATCTGGGTAGGAAAGTCTAGAAAACTCTTACCTCTATCCACCAAAAAGCCAGAAGTAGAGCTGTGGCTCAAGTGATAGAGTGCTAGTTTTTAGCACAAAAGCTCAGGAACAGCACTCAGGCCCTGAGCTAAAGCCACAGGACAAGGAAGGAAGGAAGGAAGGAAGGGAGGGAGGGAGGGAGGGAGGGAGGGAGGGGGAGAGAGAGAGAGAGAAAGAAAGAGAGACAGAAAGAAAGAAAGAGCAGGCAGAAGGGAAGGAAGGGAGGGAAGAAGGGAGGAAAGGAAGGAGCTGATCTTTGGGCATCAACCTAAGAACATAATTTCTAGCTTTGCAAACTACTTCAAAAATTTCCAGGATCAAAGTGTGCAATCATAGTCAAGGAAAACACTTATTCAGAGACAATTTTCATGCCTGAAATAAGTTTATTTTGATGGAAATATTTTACCCAATTAGAATTACATACATGACCTTCATTGCTCTTTTGTAATTTTGATTGGGATCAACTAAATCTGATATTTTAAATTACATTTTTATTTACATAATTTCAATTTACATTTTATCAGAGCACTCTTTTCCTATTCATGGCTTTAACTCATTTTCCAAAACTAAAAAACATAAAGTTAAATGGCATTCTATACTAAAAAAGAAGAGAAAGCCAGATACATAAAAGTAGGATCCACTGGGGAATATGGACAATGAGGAGATGCTTGGAAAGGTCCAAATATTTTTAAAAATTACATGAGGGGCTAGGAATGTGGGTTAGTGGCAGAGTGCTTTCCTAGCATGCATGAAGCCCTGGGTTCAATTCCTCAGTACCACAAAAGCAGAAAAAGCCAGAAGTGGTGCTGTGGCTCAACTGGTAGAGCAAGTGGTAGAGCAATAGCCTTGAGCACATAGAGGCTCAGGGACAGTGCTTAGGCCTGAGTTCACACCCTCAAAACTGGTACAAAAAAATTACATGAAATTATTCTTCCAAGACCTGTACCCACCTTGGATTTCTAATTGTTACTCAGAGAAGAGAGAGACAGAGACAGAGACAGAGACAGATAACAAACTGTGGAGGATACACAGCCTGGTGATTCTAGGATACAGTCAATTCTTGCTGAGTTTCTGCGTAAGCATATGGTTAGTGGAGTTCACCAAGGTAGCCCAGGGCGGCTCCTCATACGCCTGCAGCTCCCTTCAAGATCTGAGCACTCTTGCAATTTTGTCCTGTCCACTCATAGAGTTTGACCCATTCTCCCACAGAAAACTTCCATGTTCCTTTGACCCCCATAGGCCCGGGAATAGGTGCTCAGTGCAAACCACACACCTGAAGAAACCATGAGGAACTAGCCAGAAATGGAGCCCAACGTAACCGTCACATTCCACCAGGAAGGCCTGGTGCATCCAGAACAAAGCTAAGGCCTAGGCAGTGAGCCAACAAGCAGAACATTCAAGATAACACATCTCCCCTGGAAGAAATGTCCTCTTGCCATTTCAGGATGCAGCTCTAACTACACCTGCTGCTTTTGCTGGTTATGCAGTCCGAGCTGGTCTCTGAGCCAGTTCTTTTGGACAAGAAGGAGAAAGAGTAGCAAGTCAAAACTTCTGAGCCCTGGAGAATTTGAGGTACTTCCTGGGGAAAAGGCACATTGGAACTTTATAGGCTTATGTCATTTAGGACTGAGAGCTCTAAGCTGTGACCACTCTAAGCTGTAACAACTCAGTTTAAGTCCCTTTAAGCCGTGAATAATCAGTTCAGTGATGTTTGGGGATCAGGGGCACATCAACACATATGTGTGCCAAACATCCCTAAGGGACAAGCAAGAACCCTCATCCCAATGGTATTCAACTTGGCTTTCTCATAAATCATAGCCATAGCTCGCCTAAAATGAATCAATTCTGAGATGAATACACAGAGCCAAATCCCTTGAGGTCAGTGGCTGTTGGGACCCAAGGTCCCCCTCTGCAGTGGCTGCAGAATCCCAGTGTCAGTCTGTCCAGATCATAACGTGAGTGGGCGCCCTCTGCTGGTTATTTCCAGGGAAGACACCAAGCTCTTGGAAGGCTGTGGAGCAAAAGTTGAGAGGTTAAGAGTCTCTAAACTTCCTTCACTGACCCTGTCACTGACCCTTCCTTCACTGACCCTGTCTAGGTATCACAAATAAGGGAACCCATGAAACTTGTTTCTCTGGGTCTGGCTTAGTTCATTTAATATATTTTTCCAAGTCCTTCCAT